AGATTGAATTTTTACAATCCTAGCACCTTGCCCACTGAGCCATGGGAACCGTATTGATGAAAGGTATGAATAGAAAGATGTCAACATGCACTTAGTAAGATAATAATTATTAGCATTGAGGCTGAGAATAAGGGTGAGTCAGAAGAAACATTATGAATATTGATACAAGAATAACATCCATATCATATTTTGATACGATTCTGTATGTCGAATTGAATGTTCATGGAATATTTGGTGCCAGGATGAACATATTATTCTATGATGATTCTGAGCAGAACAGAACACGTTGTCAGAATATTATTCGTAAAGTATATTCTGGTGCTGTTTGGGATACTATTACGAATTATGGAGGTCGTGGGTATTATAACTAATACCTAATGGCATGAATAAAAAAGACACTGCAAATGCGAATGCGAACAAGAACAACATGCAAAATCGGAAAAAAATTAGAATTCATCGTATTGACGTGAGCATGAGAAATTGTGGTGGGGCAAACAATAAAGAAATGGCTCAGAAGAACAAAAACAATAATTTCAATATCCTTCAAAGACCTCCTTTGGGAAGTTATATTACGTCTCAAAAAAACATCCGCTTGCCAATATTTTTAAAAGATCCCAAAACATCCCAGGGATACCTCTCAGTATAGGCACACAAAGAAATGCCACAGAAGAACAAAAACAATACTCAAATATCCTACGAAGACCTCTTTGGGAAGTTATGTTTCGTCTCAAAAATACATCCTCATGCCAATATTTTTAAAACATCCCAAAACATCCCAGGGATACCTCTCAGTAGGCACACAAAGAAATGCCACAGAAGAACAAAAACAATACTTTAATATCCTTCAAAGACCTCTTTGGGAAGTCATATAACGTCTCAAAAATACATCCTCATGCCAACATTTTCAAAACGCTGGGAAGATGGGGTTGGCGCGGGTGTATATGGACCCGGATGTAGGCTATTTGAAACCTTAGGTCACTCCCCCACTATCTTCCAAGCTGAAATACATGCCATCAACCTATGCGCCCAAAGGTGCCTGAGAAAATGTCTGAGGGGTGCTAACATATATATCTGCTCAGACTGCCAAGCCGCACTAAAAGCCCTAAAATCATTTGATTTCACATCAAAGATCACATGGGACTGCTTTGAAACTCTCATGCAACTAGGAAAGGAAAACAAAGTCACACTTATGTGGGTTCCAGGGCATGAAGGAATCAAAGGAAATGAGGCATCTGATCGCCTTGCAAAGAAAGGTGCATCATCTGCACTCTTTGCTCCTGGGCCTTTTTGTGGGATAAGCAAATGTCACCTAAAGGGATAATTTAGTTTATAGGAAGCAATTGAAAAGTCCTCCTACTGGAGAGCAACTCCAGGTCAACGAGAAGCGATATAGTTCATCAACCATTCGCAGAACCGAGCCAAAGAGCTACTCAGCCTCAGCAAACCAGAGCTAAAGCTTATCACAGGCTTTCTCACAGGAAACGGCCCTCTGAGGTACCACCTCAAAAAGATGGGCCTAGCGGAGACTGACACTTGCTACTTTTGCAACAATGCGACCGAAACGCGGAACACATCATATATGTAAAGTATTAGTCCGCCAAAGTCTGAATCACCTAGAACAGGTCTATCTCACACCTGCTGAGGTCGAAAATTCTATAGGCTTCATCAGAAGTCTAGGGTTAGGGGACCAAAACTAGATAAGGGTAATCACAATAGATCTTCTAGGTCTCAGTGATCGAGAGGTTATACCCAGCATCTATAATCTACAATCTCTAGTAATATGCTTAGCTTAATATAAAAAATAGTGTTAAACTGGCTCAAAAGGCCTTAATTATTGTTGAACATTCAGAGATGAATGATTTCTTGGATGTTTTCTCGATTGAGGACCATAAAGTTCAAAAACAAAAATCTCATAAGTTTACCGCATACAATGCGGAAAGTATGTACCACGCGCATCGTTTTACTTACTTACGTAGGAAACTGAAAAAAGTGTTTTCCTACGAGCATGCGCAAAGTAGTACGTTTCCGCACTCATTTGCGTGCGCAATACTTTTCCGCACTCAATGCGGATATGGGTGTTATCCGCACGGCGTGCAGATAAGTAAAACTACCCAAAAATCTCACTGGTATGGAACATTTACATTCATTTTAGTTGCTGTAGACTATTGTATGCACTAAGAAACCGTTATCCCTTTTACTTTTCAACCGTTCTTCCCGATATTTGTATTTCACCTCAATATAAATATTAGGAACAAATGATTCAATTTTTTATCATTATATTTTATTGATATGTAATTGTTTGTTGTTTAGCTATTTCTATCAAGTTTAACTAAAAATTATTCAATAAATTGTAATTTAAGTTGATTTTTTTTTATTTCCGTTGTTATCTGATATGAAGCTCGTAGGGAAAAATGTGATTTTCTATTATTATATTTTATTGTTGTATGTGATTGTTGTATAGTTACATTTTTCAATAAGTTATAATTCTCTCGTAGGAAAAACTTTATTCCTAATATGTGCGCAAAGTGTCTTTTCCGCACGCAAAAACTTATTCGAACTCCGCTCCGCGTCGTTCGCCTAACTATATTTGCGTGCGGAAAAGTAACACTTTGCGCACTTGTTAGGAAAATAACTATACTTCGCAAATTTATATCAATGCGCGGACCTTGTCATTATTTGGCGTTTGTTGAAAATAATATTTTCGTATTCATTGTACGAAATGCTATACTGTGGTGATCGAGAATTGATTCTACAAACGTCAGAAAATATAGTTCTGAAGTAGTAATATGCTCAGCTTTTTAAAAAAAATAGTGCTGAACTGGCTTAAGAGGCCTGTCCCTATCCTCCCTCTAGAGTCGCGACGGAAGGCGAGATCTCTTAGTAGGAGAACCAGCTGCAAATTTCGATCGTCATCTGATAACGAAATGTTATATGTTCCAAAGGCAAGTGAACACATCCTTTTATGGAACGGCAGCTGTGTCAATCACTATCTTGAGCAAAATAATCGAAAAATGGCACTTCCCTGTCCGGTAAATTACACTCAATTTCGCGATTTGATAACGAGATGAGGCGTACGGGACGCATTTGAACATTCCGGTATAGGATTCGGCACCTGCTTAAATTCTATTGGCCGATTTTGATTTATCTGACCAATTGAAGGCGGAGTGCCGAAATTCGTACCAGAATGTTGAGCGGTGCTGAAACACAGGTCGGAATGTTGATGAAATGAAAGCTCGAGATAATGTGTGATGAACGCATTTTTCAATAACTTCAAATTTTCATTTATATTCATGGTTTATTTGGTATAAAAGTTTAAAATGAATGATTATATGTAATAAAATGAGATAATAAATTCGAAATAACAATCATTAGAACACTTAATGTCTGTCAATGTCCTATTCCATGGGACTTAGCGTAATGGTTGATTTCTCGCCACGTTACCTGCCAAACTGCGTCTTCGTTTTCTTCGAATACATTTCATGAGCAAATAAAAAAATATTTAAAAAACACAAAATTGTTACCTGTACAAGAATCTTTTGATATTTGTAGGGTCTGATTTGAAACGCCATGATGTAAACGACTGAGCTTCATAATCATTCATCCATTGCACAACAACAAATCTTTCCATAATTAGTGATTTATGGTATACTTCACTAATTGATGATTGCACTTAACTATAATAACAAGATTGCAGGTTTGTTGTTAGCATGTGGGAACGACGGTATAATCAAAAAATACGCAGGTTAGGTAAATGCGAGGGTAAATGTAAACAAAAACCGCGCAAAATGCAGGGCAACATTCCGACCTGCTTTTCAGCACCGCTCAACATTCTGGTACGGAATTCGGCACTTCGCCTTTGATTGGTCAGACAAATCAAAATCCGCCAATAGAATCTAAGCAGGTGCCGAATCCTATACCGGAATGTTCAAATGCGTACGGGACGGGTTGTATCAGTATCTTTTTTTATTTTTTGTTGTTGTTTGGACGTATTAAAAATATCAACCCAATCGGTCAGGCCGTTTAGTAGTTGACGTACCGACAGCAGCGCCACCTACCGCGTCCAATTGTATTCTGTAATCATCCAGGAAACCACATCGAAATACCCATATCAAATTTCAACCCAATCAATTCAGCCGTTTGGAAGTTATGTGAAAAAGATAAGTACGGAAGGATAAATGGGCGTGTACACCTTAGTAGATCTTTTGAGTCAAACCATGTTGATAATGATCCTTTTATACATATAAAATGATTGACGACATAATTCGATCGAAAAATTTACTGGAATGTTTTATTTTTGGACATAAATAATAGTACCTTCTGAAAACGGACCCTCTTATGACGTAGAAACTTCATCTCGCCATAGTTAAAAGATGATACCAAACGCCCGACTGAGACTGAGGCAACTGATATATTAATTCTTTCATTTGTGATCTCGCGCTAATTCACTCTGTCAGAAATCATGTATCATTCATCTCTGTCTGGAATAGTCTTGTTTCAGTATTAGGGTTTTGACGTCACATCATCGCCTCGTTTTCAGAGGTCCAAAAAATCGGGGATTTCAATAATTTTTTATAAAACGTAGTTAGCTCACAGCAAGAAACGGTTTGCGGTGGTGAGCTAGTTTGGGTGAGCTCTATCGAATTATGAAGTATTTTTTTTTGTGATATAAGCCCATTCCTACTACGAGTTGTCCTATTACCCGTTTTCCGTGGGTTTCTCGTAGGAATAGAGCATTTTATTCCAGCAGTAAAAAGTTGCCTATGTTCATCAGGGATAATGTCAACTTCTAATGGTGAAAGAATTTTTCAAATCGGTTCAGTAGCTTCGGGGCCTATTCAATACAAACAAACAAAGAAACACACACACCTTTCCTCTTTATAATATTAGTATAGAAGAAAAAATTTCCCAACGTGTTGTTTGTTCTATGAGCAACTCTCAAGTCTTGTTTATGTAGAAATTAAGCTGATTTTTTTGTTGATGATCCAAAATTTGTGCATGACTTACTTGTCCATATACTGTGTTAGCCTAACATAGGCAATACATGCAGCATCTTCACCTAATAAATGAACGTGAGGGTTCAGTATAGTTGTATTCACCGCTTTGCAGTTTTTTCCCAGTACTGAAAAGAAATTGATTAGACTTAGATTATATTAGAAAGGAAATTCAAATTATGAAACGATTATTTGACGAAATTGATGAAAATTCATAGAGTATCAGTAATGTATCTTTTGTTTTTGGATGTATGACAAATTGATATTCATGATACAGGACATGGAAAGAAATTCATGATTAAACAAAAACCCAATCTGCGATTTGAGAGGTCTATAAAAATAACCAAATTCCATCTATCAAGTTTGGACCCCTTGATTGGGTATGAAAGTACTGAAAAGGAATATTCTCAGATATATTATGAACATGAAAAACAAAATGGATATATAAGTATAAATAAAAAAACACATTGAGAATTCGAATTCTCTGTGATGAATATATATTGTAATTACATTCCCCTTAAAGGGGCTCTAAAACAAACTCAGGAAGGCAGGAGTTCAACGATCACCAAGTAACATGTGTCCCGGATCACTTTCTAACATCTCAATGATTCTAACATATACCAGCGTATTTCCGAACACCCAATATAGGTGTCACGGCGACACATAAACACGACAGAAGAATCTGGAATCATCTCGAAACAATCGATGAAACAATTAGAGAGAGAGATATTGTTCTTGAAGCTTCTAGAACAATAGAAAGGTACGGAAGATATATCATTCGAGAACGTTCGAGAAGCAGAGCCTGCCAAGGGATCTGATATATAAGGAAGGCCAGACAGCTGCCGTCAGTCAGACAGGCAGCGAGTGTCAGAGAGACAGTCATATACCGTGTGATATAAATCGTTTTACATAAATAGTAGTTATAAGTTCGATATAAATTAGTGTTCCTTTAGTTAGAAATAAATCAGTTCGAAAATAAATATTGTCCTGTTCGCTTCTGCACCCGAATGACGTAACAATATTAATTCTTTCTCGACATATTCAACAGAAAACAACTACTTTATACTTCTATATCATTATACATCATATTATTTATCCGATTTGAAAGAGAATGTCAATTTTCAATATAAAAGGATTTTTATTTATGTTCTCCTTTTGGTTGTTCAACAGATATAATTCAATGTTCGACGTGGCAAATATCCAGGAAGGTAGTTGTTTTTTGTTGAATATTCAGAATGATAATTTATTTTATAATTCTTATCGTGTGTGTTATACAGGCTGATTCACGGTGGATGGCACGTTAGACGTTTATGGAGAACGGGACATAGGATCATCCTGAAATTTTGGTTACTCACGTAGTTGCTCTTGGTCTATCGATCTGAAATATTCTCAGCTCTGCAGCGTTGCCGCTTCTATCGAAAAGTAGCAACAACTTTGTTATTTTAAATGGAACACCCTGTATTTTATTGGATTTTCGAATTCTCTCTCAAGAGCTGATTTCATCGATGTATCAGACTTGGGGTCTAGCGGAAATGATTACAGAGATATAGGGTGTGAAAAATCGACATATTTCAACTTGAGGAATTTTTTTTGTCGAAACTATTCATCATTGGTCGAAACGGCTCACATGTCCCTATCTCAACTTTTGATCAACTATCTACTGACATTTAATTGAAACAAATACAGGGTCGTGCAGAATTCAGAAACTCGATCACCCGGTATATGTCCCAATTAAATATCAGTAGATAGTTAATCAAAAGTTGAGATAGGGGCATGTGAGCAGTTTTGACCAATAATGAATAGTTTCGACAAAAAAAAATTCCTAAAGTTGAAAAATGACGATTTTTCACACCCTAATCTCTCTGTAATCATTCCCGCTAGACCCCAAGTGTGATACATCGATGGAATCAGCTCTTCAGAGAGAATCTGAAAATGCAATAAAATACAGGGTGTTCCATTTAAAATAACAAAGTTGTTGCTACTTTTCGATAGAAGCGGCAACGCCGCAGAGCTGAAAATATTTTAGAGCGATAGACCAAGAGCAACTACGTGAGTTACCAAAATTTCAGAATGATCCTATGTTCCGTTCTTCATAAACGTCTAACGTGCCATCCACCGTGAATCAGCCTGTATATAGATATAATTCCGTACTCGTTAATCAATATACTATTTCAACACATGAAGAATGCGAATTCTCAGTGTATGTCTTTATATATATATATACATATCAATTTTTTCTCATGTTCATAATATATCTAAGAATATTCCTTTTCAATAATGATAATAGGCACCACACACGGTGAAGATCTTTCGATGATAATAATTATAACAAATATAATAAATACAATCTGTAGACCTCACCATTATCGAAATAAAATTTATGGAAATCCATGCCTTCTACTAAATTGCCCATGGCCTCTGGCTCAAAGGCTGTCAAATGCGGATCACATATTTTCCTGAAACAGATATGTTTGGCATTATAGACCACTGAAAATTGCACCATTATTTTTATTATCATATTTTGGCCATATCGGCAAGGCTGGTTGTCTTATACAGGCTGATTCACGGTGGATGGCACATTAGACGTTTCTGGTGAACCAGACACCGGATCATTTTGAAAATCCAATGGAAGGCATATTCGGACATTCTCTAGCCAACTAAAATATTTTCGACAATGCGGTGTTGCCGATTCTATTAGAAAGCAGTAGCAACTTTGATTTTTCAAATGGAAAACTATGTATTTCATTGCATTTTTAGATTCTCCCTGAAGAGCTGATTTCATCGATGTATCACACTTGGGGTCTAGCGGAAATGATTATAGAGATATAGGGTGTGAAAAATCGACATTTTTCAACTTTAGATTTTTTTTGTGTCGAAACTATTCATCATTGGTCGAAACGGCTCACATGTCCCTATCTCAACTTTTGATTAACTATCTACTGATATTCAATTGGGACATATACCGGGTGATCAAGATTCTGAATTCTGCACCACCCTGTATTTGTTTCAATTAAATTTCAGTAGATAGTTGATCAAAAGTTGAGATAGGGACATGTGAGCCGTTTTGACCAATAATGGATAGTTTCGACAGAAAAAATTCCTAAAGTTGAAAAATGTCGATTTATCACACCCTATATCTCTGTAATCATTTCCGCTAGACCCCAAGTATGATACATCGATGAAATCTGCTCTTCAGGGAGAATCTGAAAATGCAATAAAATACAGAGTGTTTCATTTGAAAAATCAAAGTTGCTACTGCTTTCTAATAGAAGCGGCAACACCGCATTGTCGAAAATATTCTAGTTGGCTAGAGAATGTCCGAATATGCCCTCCATTGAATTTTCAAAATGATCCGTTGTCTGGTTCACCAGAAACGTCTAATGTGCCATCCACCGTGAATCAGCCTGTATATACATTAGTCATAAAACCGTTTCAAATATACATTCTACGATAGCATTCCTGTAAGAAATGAAAAAAAAGCATGTTCATATAGACCAGCAGGTTGATAATAAGATACTTTTAGGAGATGACTTCTGAGTTGTGGAGAGTCATTTTCATTTATAAAATGAATTGTATCGTATACATTTGTATATATTTTATATAACACCTGTATAATCCATAATAGATTTATTGAAGTTCTTTTTTCTGAATTATAAAACTATTCTATACGTATTATCAGTTGGAACATAGTACAATTAGGTATCTTATGTTGGCCATATAATATACTTATTTATGCATCGAGGGCGTAAAATAGGCTTTCATGGACCTTAGCGTGCACGAGCCCCAGCGATAGCGAGGGTTATTAATTGTAGTGTATTATTATCTATCACTATTTATAATGTATATATGTCATGTATCATTCTGTATGTAAATATTCGGATTCATGATAACTGGAAGAATTACAATGGTGATTGTCATAATAACTTGTTTATTATCTGTTTTCACTTTTGTAGAATAAAGATTTTCCTTCGTAAAGCTGAATCATAATAATTATTATGTATCTCACGGATATAATTTTGGCGACGAGGAAAACGAGTAGAATTTGCAAGTTTTTGATAGCAGGATTTTTGTAATGAATGAAACTTCGGTTTTATCTGAAAATGCTGGACCAATATTTCCAGGCCAATCTAATTGGAGATGGAAAGGGAAGTGCTGTATTATTGACACTCATCGATAAGGAAGTTTACTGAATTTTGAAAAATGTGTCATCCTGCGGCTTCCAAGGATAAAACATATGCTGAGATTGGTGGTTTACTTCAGAAACAATACAAAAGAAGAGTGAACATTTACAGATTCTTATTTGATCAACTCAATGCAAAATAATGAAAAAAGGACAAGTTTGTAGTAGGGCTCAGACTAGGGCCAATTGTTACAGATCATGGAACCATATTCACGCTGTATATAGTTATATTTTTATTTACTCTGTATGTTTCCAGTTCGATGTGTATTGTCAAGTTTGTCATTAAAAAATTCTGTAAAAAGTCATATCTGATTGAGCTTCTTTTTCTGATTATACCACGATACATTAGTATTTTCACTATTTCTGACCCATATTTCATCCTTCATACGAAGTATTCAATCACCGGGTAGGTGAATTTCGAATATTTAACAGTTGGCGACCGTGACTATGGAGAAGGCGAAGAAAGTACTTGCGGTTCAAAGAAGTTCATTTGATCAAGTTTTTTATGACATCATGAATCTATTCAGCGAAACAGATAAGGATAAGATTGGTATATTCAGTAAAATCAACCTCCTAGAACAGAAAATTGAAATTTTGATGGATTTACATAAACAGGTTGTGGATTTTCTGCTGGACGATGAAAATGCCTTGATATCGGAGATTACACTAGCTGATGAATATTCTGCAAAGTATTTCAAAGTGAAACTGATGGCTGAAAATTTTCTAGTAAGGATTTCATTGCAGACAATATCTCTCAGTGTTCTAGTAACTCCAGAAGAAAGCTCAAATTACCGACCATAGAATTCAAAAAGTTTGGTGGCGAAATAGGAGACTGGCTCTCCTTCTGGAACCAATTTCAACAAGTTGACGATGATGAAGACATTGCTTTGGAAGATAAGTTTCAGTACCTACTTGATTCAAGCAACCATACCAAATTCGAGAGCTCGTCAGCTTGTGGATAGCTACCCTCCAAGTGCAGAAAATTACCCGAAAGTAATTGAATGCCTGAAAAACAGATTCGGAAGGAAAGATTTTCTCGTAGAATTCTATGTACGTGAGTTGCTGAAGCTAGTGTTGAACAATCTCTCACCCAATAACAATCTTAGCTTTCTTTATGACAAAATGGAATCCCAATGACGGGCCTTGGAGACTCTTGATGTCACCTCAGAGACTTGTGCGGCTATGTTGTATCCCCTGATGGAATCTTAATTGTCTACCTGAAGATCTCATTCGAGTATGGCAAAGGAGTACATTCTACGATACTGATTCTACCCTCAAGAATCGCCTAGATAAATTGATGAATTTCCGTAGAAAGGAAGTTGAAAATGAAGAGAGGATTACTTTGGCAATGTCAGGTTTTGGAATTCAAAACAGATCCAAGAAGAGAGATGATGCTCCCAAACATCATGTTCTGCCAACCGCTTCTGGATTAATTAATAATAACATTCAGAAGAAATGTCACTTTTGTTGTGGTATCCATTCGACTGAACATTGCGTAGAGGCCAAGAAATGGTCTTTATCTGATCGTAAGAAAAAATTGATGGAAAAAGGATGCTGTCATCAATGTTTGAAATATGGACATATTTCTAGAAAATGTCGTGTAAATTTGACATGTACAGTCGTATTCAATAAAAAAGCGTACAATTATTGAACATAGAAGATTTCGGCATTCTGGTTCTCGTTGTGTAAAATTGGCTCAGCTAATGCTTTGTGTTTTTGAGAACCTATGATTACTCTACTGTCAACATTTGGTAAACATTCATTCCCGATAGCCCGTTTTACGCAAATAGGATGTGTTTAATTTCTCCCTCCAATATACTTGTACGCTTTTTTTTTAATACGACTGATGTACCAAACAATCTCATGAAAGCGCGAAAACTAAAAATATGATGATAAAAAACTACTTCAATTTTTGTTCAGTTTTGCTAAATTGGATTTTCGGAATGCTTATAATCAGATAGACTAGAGATTGATGAGAAAACCAGAATGTTACTTTCTTGGAGGCGAATAGATTGCCATTTGGGACCAAGCCAGCATGCGCAATTTTTCAACAGAGTGTTGACAAGTTGCTAGTTGGTATTCCAGGGGTAGTTAACTTTTCAGAAGATATACGTAGTGACAGAGGGAAAACTATGGAAGAGCATTTTCGCAGTTTGAAAGAAGTTTTGGTTCGGTTGAACCGGTGCGGATTGCGTTTAGATAGAGATAAATGCGTCAGTCAAAAATGAAATAAGATGGGTATTCGGGGCATATTATTAATTCTGCATCATGATGTGGGGATACAGAAGGGTTAATCCTTTCAAACTCAGATCGGGGTTATTGACCAAGTTATATGTTACATCCTAACCATGAGAGTATTGTAAAGATAAAGTATACCGCTAGATCCTATTTGGTGGCCATCAGTCGATACGGAAATCGAGAATCAAGTTAAAAAATGTGAGGTTTTTGCATTAAATTCCGTCCAGATCGAGCAAAATCGATTCCACTTTCCTGGAATAGAACTCATCGGGTATACGAAAGAATACACTGAGACTTTTTAGGACCTTTTAACAACAAAATTATCTTGGTTATATCATTGCCGAGGAAACGATAGAAAAGTGTCGAGAGTGTTTTTCTCGTTTTGGTTTGCCAGATGTGGTGATAACGGACAACGGTTCACAATTTATATTCCAGGCGTTTTCGAAATTTTTTAGTTTGCATGGTATCAAACATTTGAGCTCGTCTGTCAATCATCCTTCGAGTAATGGACAGGCAGAAAATAAAAATGTATCTTTTGAAACTTTAATGAACAGATATTTATTCAATTGTAGGAATGCAGTTCACATTTCAACTGGTTGGGCTCCTTCAAGTATGATTTTCAGATGCAAACCGAAATGTAGGTTTTTTTAAGATAAATCAGGTAGGAATTGGTGTTCTTCTTAAATTTCTGGATGTAATATGCCTCGGGAAACACCTCTCTTGGCAATGTATTCCAGAGCCTCGACGTTCGTTGGATGAACGAGTCTTTGGAAAGAGATGTTTTGCAGGTCTCCAAAGTGACCACAAAGGGGTGCAAAGCCTCAACTCGACGGGTTAATCTCGCGGGGACTGCCAAGGGAGGAACAATTGTTGATATTTCAGAAGAGCATTATCCATGAAAATATTTATAAAATAGAGCCAGATCGCCAACTTTCCCACGGTGTTCCAGAGAAGTGAGTGAGTTTGTGAGTGAGGCATCACCAACGAGACGAATTACCCTTTTTTAGACAGAATCCAACAGTTTCAGGGTATGTTTGG